GAAATCGCTTCCTGGATGCAGCCTGGGTCCATCATCACTTGAACGGGCGCTTCTCTTGCCTCTTTTCAAAGCTGGGAGTTTTCCAGCTTGCAAAATTGGCTGCCAGAGCATCCCTCTGAGCGGTGATGGAGCCAGGCTGCACCTGGGCGTCCATTTCGGTGGCTAAATGCATCTGATAATATCAGAATGTCACCTGCTTCTAATTTTAAGTTGGCTCAGGTAAAACGATTTATATTCTTATGTGATAATCTTCAGTCATTTTGAAGCCACTGCCAGAGACAACTGGAATGTGCGGCTTCATGTGATGGCCAGCCCTGTATTCATCTGAGTAAATCATACTTCATTTCCAAAAATGAATTAAACATTTCCCATTTTCCATAAGCCTATCCCATCTTTTTCTCTCCTCTGTCACATTATGTGTCAGTTTAGACACATGTGTAAGTTCCAGCCTATCTACAAATTATTTAGTGATTTATATTTTTTTTATTGCAGTTTAAAGAACTGGAATAGAAAGTCAAGGAAGACTTGAAGAAAGTCAAGGAAGAAAGTGGAAAGGCAGTTTTATAAACATTAAAACACAAACAAAAATAAGGACCACAGATGATTTATATAACTTTAAAGGAGACCGAGGTCCAAAGCACACTTCAGAAATAATCCAGTTTGAGACTGCATTAATTGCTCTATCTCAGTGCTAGAGAATCCTAGGCATTGTGGTTTATTGTGGCACCAGAGCTCTCTAACAGAGGAGGCTAAATGTCTATCAAAGCTACAGTTTCCCGAATTCCCTAGCACTGAGCTAGGGCTATAAAAGTGGTCTCAAACTGGATTATTTCTGCAATGTGTTTTGGACCGATAAAAATATTGAAATAGTTCAAGCTTTTCCATATTTTAATCAGAATGGAGATTGCATTCAAGAAATCAGAAGATGACTAGGACTTGGAAGGGCAGCTGTGAAAGAACTAGACAAGTTCTTGAAATGTCAAGATATATAATTGAGTACTAAAGTTGAGATTGTCCATGGCATCATATGGTTGTGAAAGTTGGACAGTAAAGAAAGTTGATGGGAAGAGAATCAACTCATCTGAGATGTGGTTCTTCAGATACCATGCATTGTTAAAAAGACCAATAAATAGATCCTAGAGTAAATCAAGCCTGAACCCTTCTTGGAAGCCAAGATGACTAAACTGAGAATGTCGTACATTGGCCATATCATGAGAAAACATACCTCACTAGAAAAGACAATAATGTTTAATAAGGTAGAAGGCAGTAAGAAAAAAGGAAGACCACATTCTAGATGGATAGACTCAATCAAGGAAGCCATGGCCCTAAGTCTGCAAGACTTGGGTTGATGACAAGATGTCTTGGAGGTCTTTCGTTCATAGGGTTGCCAAAGTCAAAGTTAAAGTCAACTTGATGGCAGTTAATAACAACAACTACAACAACTACTGCTGCTGCTGCTACTACAGCTCTGGCCATAACAGTTCTAGCAACAGAAATCATATATGTCGAATTCCTTCTGATGCTGATATGCAAATCTCTCTATAGAACATAAAAGGGTGATACACATACACTTATCCAGGATTTGATTGATTGTTCTCCAGAGGTAAGTAAGATAAGAAAAACAGCCTTGTGGAAAAGGGAGGAGTGCCCTCTAATCCCAAGCTTCCAGTCCTGATTTCAGCTTCTCACAGCTGTGATGGGGGGGGGGGGGGGGGGGGGGAGAAGAGAAAATTACATCTTGTGGAAAACATTGTGTCATGTGTGGCTTGACCTTTATAGAGAGAATACCATCATCTGGGAGAATATTCTTGACCTAAGAACTTCCTGCAAGGCTCCGTCTTAAATTGTTGTAACTAAATGGAGGACTCATTATGGGTGACTGTAGTTGCTATGTTTTAATACACAGTATTCTTTACCCTCAAGTGGTTAAGATGCTGACTCTGTTGATTGCAAGATTGGCAGGTTGGCAGTTCAAGGTCCAGGTGCCGCATGATGGGGTGAGCTCCCATCACTAGTCCCAGTTTCTGCCAACCTAGCAGTTCAAAAGCAGGCAAATGCAAATGCCCCTCCATTTTTGTGGAACATCCATTCCGGACCCCCCCCCCAAAAAAAACAAAATTCAAGCCCCATTGCCTTCAATGGTTGCGTGCTCCTGCATGTGCTCCTGTGTGCATGCCATTTTAGCTAATGTTCTGTGAATGATTGAGACTGCGGACTCAAAGTCTGTGAAAATGGAGGGAGAGCTGTAGATAAATAGGTACCACCTTGGTGGGAAGGTAAACAGCATTCCATGCAGTCATGCTGGCCACATGATTACAGAGTATTCTCTGACAATGCTGGCTCTTCGGTTTAGTAATGGAGATGAGCACCACCCCCTATGGTCGGATGTGACAACTTTATCAATGGGGAATTCCTTTACCTTTTATTATTGAAATGCATGGAATTGCACTGCATTATACAATCTACATTTACAATGTAGTATTCTCAGGAGAATGGAAACTGGGTTGGAGACAATGTGTGAAGAGTGAAATGTGCATCCAAGCACATAGTGATTTTAAGCAGAAATCTGATGTCTGATTTAATGGAATTTCCTGTCCTGGGGGAGTCTCCCAGGAATGGTTCTTACCAAATTCCGGCATTCTCTTCAGGAATGTTAGCTCTGAGGAGGAGGAGGAAGAAGCTATTAATAAAATACACTTAGTATTTGGGGTCAATAGGACAGATTGATATAATCTCATTGTTGTTCGTTTTCCAAAAGGCAATCTGAATCCCGCAAATCCAGTTGCAACACCTGAGCCTCTTGAGTTGATCCTTGCAGAGTCCTCATTTGAATGTAAGTTGTCAGTGATTGGAAATAGATATTTTTAGAATGTACTGATTGTAATTCTCTCATTTAATTGATTAAAGGAAGCACAGAAAAAAAAATATCCAAAGTGAAGATGGCTCTTAAAATAAAGAAATTTAATGTCAGGAATATGGTGGCATGTATACAGACAAAGAATAAACAACCTGTAATTTAAAAAGAACTCTGGATAGACTTAAAAGTACTATGTCATTCAACATGAATGGTTTGAGTTCTAAGACAAAATAGTACAGGATTTTGCAAACAGTAGAAAGCCAAAATTCTTCCTTCAGGAGATCAAAGAAAACAAACATGTTTTGAAAGTTCTGATACAATGCAGCAGCCTTGAAGAGGCAAAGGCATTGAACCTCTATTTTTAGAGGCAGTATCCTTTGTGAGTACCAAATGCTGAAAGCAAACAGAAAGAGATCACTTTCCTGGCCTCCTCTTCCAAAAGAACTGGCTACATGCTGTTGGAAACTAAATATTGGGCTGGATGGACCATAGTTTCATTCAGCAAGGCAATTCTTATATTGTTATATATGTTTTTAAATACATTCTAAGAAATATTAGACACTGTCAAAGAGATAGAATGATAACATGGTTCTAATAAATTATTTTTATTGCTATACTTTTTCTCTCTGTCTTGCTGATAATCTATAATATTATTAAAATATAGTTCTGGATACTGTACATTAAAGTCACACATTTCATTGTTTAATGGTTCCCTGCACCTAATCTGGTGTTTTAATATTTTAAATATTTTTATAAATCAAAATAACCACTGAACATCAAAAAGAAAATATGAGACATTAGAAATCATGACAAAATCATCAAAAAGCACCAGTTCTTTATGGAATCAGGTTTTTAAGGCACATTATTACTATATATATATATATATATATATATATATATATATATATATATATCTTCTTGCAAAAAAATCTGATCTGTCTGCACACTGTATTTGTATTTTCTCCAGTCAGAAAATTCATTTTAACAAAGACTTTGTATTTCACGTGAGATTGTGCGTCTCTGTGTGCATGCACATTTGTGAGCAAGCATGCACCTGTGACATAAACTCAACAGATTAAGAGTGCAAAGTAGCAAAATGCACAGAAAATACACCATTCAATAGATTCCATACTAAATAAAAGCAAATTATCCAGGGATTTGAATATTAACTGTCTATGTGTCCTATGAATAATATGTCCTTTTATATTTACACATAAAAAGTGAATATTCAGGCCCTTGGATAATAAATTAATAATGATGATTATCACCTTACATGCTTCAGTCAAATCCCTTCAGTCCACTAAAAGGTTACTGTGAAGATCCACCAAAGCAGTCAAAGTTAAGCACCTCAGTATTGTAGATTTCATCTGAATTGTTAAGGATGTGCTCACATTTTCCCACTGAAACCAGTGGGGCTTCAGTATCACAACCCTATGCATCTTTACTCAGAAATAAATCGTACTGCGTTAAATGGGCATATTTCCAGGCAAGCTGTTTTATAGGACTGCAGTCAGAAATGCTTCACTTTCACCTGGTTATTCCCTCATTTTGATGGCCCCAAATTTTGTACTGGTTCACATCTTTTAGATTTTTTGTTCCTCACAAATCTTTCATTCCTTTTGGATTTAACATCAACTTACAACCCACTTTCATGGGGATAAAGATCAGATAAACATTGCATCATAGCAATCCTTTTAAAAACAAAATGGACATAAAAATGGAAAGTTACAAAAATGCACATTTCCCCATACCTACAATTTAGTCTTTCAGCAGTTATGCTTCATAGCATACACTTCTGTCATATTCAGAACTAACAAATATCTGTGTAACAGTCATGTCTGCATAAAGTAAAAGTGAACTCTAGGGAAACAGCAGCACTAGCAAGCAATAAGAAGCCTAAGGGCATGTCTTTACCATTATGAAATTGGAGTATTAAGTGTTGGATTACATGTACACAAATACATATGCAGCAATTAAATTCTGCAGATGGAATATTTGTAGTAGTGTATGACATTGCCTTAAATGCCATGCTTTTCTTTTCAGTGAAGTCAGTACATCTAGTCACCTAGGTGCATGTCATCAGATCATGCATTGTGCACATATGAACTACTCTAATGAGACATGAACAACCTTTTGGGGAGCTCGCTGTGGCTTAGTGGTTTCAGTGCTGGACTACAACTCTGGAGACCAGGGTTCAATTCCCAACTTAGCCATGATACCCACTGTGTGACCTTGGGCAAGTCACACTCTCTTAGCCTCAGGGGAAAGCAATAGCAAACCTCTTCTGAAGAAAGCTTGCCAAGGTTCGCCTTAGGGTTGCCATAAGTTGGAAATGACTTGAAGGCAGACAACAATGCAATAATACATGCTGGGGGTGGCTTTTAAGTCAGTGCATGGATGAATTCTTTGATTACAACAGTACTGTGGAAAAGAAAATATATGTCAAAGGATTAGGCTTCCTTTGAGTGAATATCTGGAATCAATTCATTAAAAACACTATCAACTTCCACAAATGAGATACAGGACAGAAGGAAGAATTTATTTTCTGGGCTAAATGCTTTGTAAGTTGAAGACTTAGGGCATGATAAAACTTGAAGAGTTAAAGTCATTTAAATTTTGCAGATTTAACAGAGAGACTTGAGCATGTACTGAAATCTTGTCCATCAAAATCAATGGAACATAAAATTGGCTGAACTTCGGTTGGACAGATTCTTGGGTAGCAATAATACAGGTACTTTCTCTGGCAGTAAGCCCCTCTGAATTCAGTGGGATTTACTTTGGAGCAGACAAGCACAGGACTGCAGCGTTAATAAAGAAAATAACCCAGCCATCACTGAGGAGGGTATTGAAAGATTTCCCATTTTTATTTAAGAAGTTGTTATGCCACAATAGTCATTTGCTTTATGCCATGGGTATAAAACATTTTGGGATCTGAGACCATAAATGATGCAGGTGCAGAACTACACATACATATGTGTACGGGCATGCTCATGCACAGCTCCGTGATCCTCTCCCCTTGCTGGGAGTTAATAGAGAGCCTTATTTCCAGTCACTTCCTCCAGTGGAGAAAACAGCAGTCTGTATGAGGATCTAGGGAGAGGAAATGGAGAGGTCTCACTCCAGCCAGAGATCCTCAGAAAGATGACTCTTTCAGCAGTGAGTAGGTGGGGGGCTACTATACGTAAGAGAGAGGCCATTTGTATGACGTCTCCAAGAAAGGATGGGGATTTAGTAATGGGAGGGTGAAGGTACCCAGGGAAGAGAAAGAGTTAGAAGCACACTCTCATTCTGGGCTGTAGGCACATGTACCCCAGTTTGTTTGTTAACTGCCTTTGCGTCGATCTCTACCCATGGTGACCCTATGGATGAGACATCTCCAGCCCCCTCATCCTCTACTGCTCTGCCCAGCTCCTGCAAACTCATATTCATGATCTCTTTAATAAAGTCCATCCATCTAGCATGTGGCCTTCTCTTACAAGCCATCGCATTCCCTATTGCCATAGATGTATGTGAGAGCTGGACAGTCAAGAAAGGAGATAGGAGGAAAATCAACGCATTTGAGATAATGTGGTGCTGGAGAAGAGTGCTGAGGATCCCATGGACAGCCAAAAGGACAAACAAATGGGTCCTAGAGCAGAACAAGCCAGAAATATCCCTAGAAGCCAAGATGACAAGACTTCGACTGTCATACTTTGGATAAATCATGAGAAGGCATGAATTGTTGGAAAAGACAATAATGTTAGGAAAGGTGGAGGGAAACAGAAAGAGAGGAAAGCCACATACCAATACTCTAAACCTCCAAAACCAGAGAATGCAAAAATGGCTTAGAGCACAATCCCAAACCCTTGAAGTGGTATATTAGTGCCTTTCCACCAGAACATCACTAGTAGGTACAGTTCTCTCACAGTGAAGTCTCCTACAGAGCTTCAAATGGTTCATCCCATGTGTGGAGGTGAAATCAGCTGGATACACTGGAATTTAAGCTATTCTGTTTTCCAAGATGGAAAACAAAAGTGTGTGTGTTGGTTTTTTTGTAAATTCACAGATTTACTGGGATGAAGAACCTAGCAAAACTGCTCTCCTTTCTCTAGACAGGCCTAAAGATGAAACAATAGCTTAGGACTGCATGACTAATATAAAATCCTTTCCCAGTGGACTTGAATTTTCTAGGGAAAAATTAGAATGCAAGGATAATTGTGCACATAGAATGGCGATGTCGGAGACAAATTTTCTATGTTCAAAACTCAAAAGAAAATGGAAAACTTTGTTGGGAAAATGTATGCAAATAGGCACTGATGCAATCGGACATGAAAAGTTTTAATAATTATGCAGTTAAGGACAGTGAAAGGTCTGTACATAGCACATCCTTCCTTTTCTTCAATATCTGATGAGGTTTACTTCTAAAAAATGTCTGGAAGATGGTTGGAAGTGGACTTGCAAACTGCAGTATGTGCTATATATAGTTTACTGTGGCATTTGAATGGACAAGCCAATGAATGATGAGACTAGATGGAAAACAAGCTACTCTGTACTATAGCATTACTGAAGAGGCTGCAAATCCACACTCTGCTTCAGCCAAACTGAATGACTAGCTTTGTAAAGCCTGCCAGATTAAGGCTCCTTCTATTCTATTTCATTTTTAAATGTTGTTGACACACCTGGGCTCTTACAAGTGGAAAAATATTCTTTGTAATGAAAAAAAAAATCTTTGCAGACTGCTAGAAATAGTGCAGATTGAGTCCACTTTAACTGCCCTGGTTCAGTGCTAGGGAATCATGGGAATTGTCTTTTTTCTGAGACATTGAGCCTTCTCTGTCGGAGCTCTGGTGCCACAATAAACTACAGTTCCCATGATTCCCTAGCACTGAGTCAGGGCAGTTAAAGTGGACTCAATTTGCACTATTTCTGGCAGTCTGCAAAGGCCCATAGTATTTCCCATTAAACCCATATACTAGAATGTTTTAGCAAGCAAGGATAATTTTTAAATATAGCATGGACCTCTAGTTTTAGCACATTACTGTAGTCCAACAACATCTGCACATCTACAGGTTCCCCACCATTGCCCTAAATCACAATTGGTTTAGAAGGACAGTGAGAAAAAAAGTGCATTCTGAAATGGCAAACACGATACTAGATATTAAAATTGTTATACAGTACTACAAAGCATAAGTGACCTGAGTTTTCATGGCACTTAAACGAACCATCAAACACAGAAGTATATGAAGAAATAACTGTTGCAAAAATATTGACTAATTTGAACAGAAACTTTAAGGCTTCAGTCCCATATACACTTATCTGCAATTAAATCCCTTTAAAATCAGTGTAACTAATTTCTGAGTAGATATGCACATTTCTGCACTGTGGTTCATGCATTCATGTGGTTCACTACAGTGTGCCTGCGCCATATGCGGGTTCGCTGTACATGGACTCAAGATCATGCGGACAGCGAGCCCTGGTAGAACGAATAGGGTGTGCACAGTGCCATGCGCTGCGAGGGCACACCCCATTCAAATGGGACTTCAGGTTCTACATTTTTTGCATTACACAGGTGGTGGTGGTCCAGAACAAATCCCCCGTGTAAAAGGGTCCACTGTAGTTGTATTTAGTTTTCTTTTCTGAGATTATATGGAGTAGAACGGTTTATTAAGAACCAAAAATTTGGTACTTGGTGCATGAAAATTCTAGAGAGAGGACAATCCCACCTGCCATCCTGGACAATGCTGATGACAGAGCCTCCAACATACCCAGAGCCTTTCAGTAAAAGCTCAGCAAGGCAAATGTGAGGAAGGAATGGCATTTCTGCTGATCGCTTTCTCCTTGCAGCCATTTCTTTCCTTTTTCTGCCCAGATTTTATTCCATGAAACCAAGAGTGGGCATAGATTGGCAGCCATTTGGGAGGCCAGATATTCTGTGAATTCTTTGATTCCCCAGATTCTCCTCACAGGCTCTCTGACCCACCCTGACCAACTATGTTTACCACCACCCTTTTAATTTTGGAAAAAAACCACCACAGGCCTTTCCAAACTAACTGGGGTGTGTGTGTGTCTGTGATGTCCTAAATCACACCAACTGTGTTAATCTGCAATATCAGTAGGCAAAGGAATCTTATAGCACCTTTGAGACTAGGGAGAGATGCAGATGGCGCAAAGCGCCATCTTGGAGGCAGGGAAGGGGAGGGGCAGCCGTATGGCAGCCACCTCAATCCCTTCCCGAGGACATCATCAGAGCGTGCACCATTATACATGGTGAGCGCCCTGCCTACACCCTCCCGTGCAGCCTCTGCACCGGAAGAGATGCAGAAGAGCTGCGTGATGGCTCTTCCGGCGCCCTTTTCGCCAGTTCTGAAAGGAGTGGCATTTTGGCACTCCTTCCATAGCCTCCAAAAGAGTGGATTGGGGCTGAGGCATGGGGCAGCTTCGGCCCCAATCCTCTACTTCTCAGGGCAGCCCACGGCTGCCCGTCTGCTAAGCCCCTAACTGAGCAAAACAAGTTGTAGCATAAGCTTTAGTACACTTGGTCTACTTCCTCAGATCCATGTAAAGTGTTACAACAAATGCTAAGATTTCTAGGTACAACAGGAGTGAATTCCAATCTCAGAATCAGAATCTTAGGGGGGCTGCAGACTGCCAGAAATAGTGCAAATTGAGTCCACTTTTAGGGTTAAGGTTAGTGCTAGGGAATCATGGGAATTGGTTTTTTTTCTGAGACATTGAGCCTTCTCTGTCAGAGAGCTCTGGTGCCACAATAAAATACAGTTCCCGTGATTCCCTAACCCTAACCATTAAAGTGGACTCAATTTGCAATATTTCTGGCAGTCTGCAACCCCCCCTTAGGCTCTAAACCAACCAGCGATAAACACCGGCATCGGGGAAGAGTGGGGGTGTTGTGACGACATGCTGCATGCCCCGACTCTGTCCCCAAGCTGCTGGGAAGCCACCTGCCCGATCGACATGCTGCACTGCAAAAATGAAGAAAAAACACCACCGCAGGGGCAAAGGTAGCTTTTCACTAATTTAGAAAAGAGCAGCATTTTGCTGGCCCAACAAAGCATTGGATTGGGGCTGCGGTGTGCGGTTGCCGTCGCCCCGATCCAGTGCTCCCAGGGGTGGTGCGGAGATGCTCTTTCAAAGTGGTCTGTCCAGCCCCTTAGAGTAGATGGGGCCATGCAGGAAGACACAACTAAAGCACTCCTGAAATATGCCCATTCAACCT